AAAATGGTGAAACCTCAAAATGCGAAACTCTGCTGAAACTCTAATAAACAATTAATGTGTAACCTGCCGAAACCCTGTTGATTGATTTCTGGAAGAGTTTCAGAAAGCAACCTTACTCAAGATAGGGAAAATAGTTGTGAACATTCTTTTTTAGAGAAGAAAGTGGTTTGATATCTGTATTCTAGTTTAGGTGCAAGGACATGATTTGTTATATATTTGATTTGTTCTGTTAATTTTTTGGGGTAAAGTAATGATTTGAAGGTGTTGGTTGTATTTTTGAAAGAAGAAATATGGTGTTTTCATGAGCCAGAAGTATTGAACCATACTTCTAGAATTCTAACTGGAGTATTTGTGGGAGTGGATGAATTGGTATGTTATTAGATGTTGCATTTGTTTTGTTATCTTTTTCTGATCAATGTTGATTTGTCAGGATTTACTTTAATGGCATTTAATTGGTAGAGTTTTGTTCATTTTTTCTTTTGATAGAGCAATCCATGTGGCATTGGGGTGTCCCACATCATATGATTTACAAACATAGTTGATCACATAGATATTTCATTAATAAGGATTTTTTAGGGGTTTGCAGATTTATTATTATTTTTTGGTGCCACAAAAAAAACTTTTAAATTTATTTTACAAATTGGCAAACTTCACAAAATTACAAAACTCCAAATAACCCTTAAACTATATGATGTATTCAGATAAAAATTTATGATTTAGATTCACTTTTGATGTTCTTTAAGGATAGAGTGTAGTCATGGGATTTTATATAATGATCGGTGAGGATAAATAATTCCCGAACCTCTTTTAAATCACTTGCTTCATATGCAGCTACACCAAAAACCAGTTTTCGTGAGACGAAAATTAACACAAAATCCATTTTCAGCATATATACAATCATATAGTAATAAAAAAATTTTTTATTGTTAGATGGTTATTTCAAAAAAAACTTGTAAAGTTAGAGACATTTTGCTAATCACTAATTAAAATTTGCTAATCACTAATAAA